CATAATTATACAAACACATCGTGAAGAATCAACAATTAGAAAAGGAAACCCAGAAATTACGCCGATGTACTTTGTAAATCGGACAAGCATACCGTAATTGCGTTGAAACATTTTGTGGTCAGTAAGTAACCTCAGAATATTGTTTAAAAGAAAATATTCCATCCCAATCAAATCTAGGTCAAAGGGTCAAATTGAGTGCATATAATTATAGATAGTTAAAAACTAAATATATTTGAATTGTTGACGGCTATTCAACGTTTGTGCAAACCAGAATAAAAAGGGAGTGTATACAATAGCGATATGGCGATTGTTTACAATATTGTACCAGCTCTAATATTGGACGCAGATGAAGTTGCGTTCGCGAACGATAAAAATGTGGTCGTTTTCCGGTCGGAAAATACCGTGCGGTCGGAAATTAAGCGATCGAGTAAAAAGTTGGGGAAATGAGTACTGTAGTTCAAGTGACGTTAGCGTATTTCTAATTTAGTTTTAACTCGTACAATATTAATTGACTCATTGTTCACTATAGCTAGAACGCTGTACGTGTCTTCACTTTCAGGTTAGTTTTTCTGCCGATTTCTCGCAACCAACGACAGGATTTTTCATTTGGGATTTTGACAAACCTAACATGAATCGTTATGGCATTTATACGCACAACACCTCACAATGTTTCAAATTTTAAATTGTCAGTCAACAAGGGTTTTCATAGAAGCACTTCTATGAGATTGACGTACTAGTATAAATGGTTCAATTATCGGTGTTCACTGATGACATCACTGACTGGCCCTCTAGAGGCGAAATAACGCCAGGCAAAGCGGACGTTTGTCGTCTGCTTCACAGCCCATTTTATACCCCATATTTAGGACATTTCGCAGCACACACAAGTTGTTGTTATCGACAGAATTTATTCATAGATCTCAAATGTCATGTACAGAGTGTCAAAGGCTATACCTCTGCTCCCCTTTAATATAAGCTCATACTCTTCACTTCGGCTCTGTAATTACATTTCTGTCATAACTTTATATTGGACAATTGATGCAATAATTGACGTGTTTCTTAGATGGCTTGCGTGAGGTGTCATAATGTGATTGAGTATCAGATAGTTTTCAAAACATCTAAAGCATGTTAAAATGGCGAACTAAATAGACTCATTAGAATAAAGATACACTTCAGCCAAGCTAGCATATTGAGCTTCGGGTTCTCGTGGCTGTAATTCTGCATATTCGTTTTGTTTAATTTCTTCTTCCTGGACTGATAAATCGATGTCTTGGTAGTTGTCGTCAGTGTCATTGCTGCTTCTGCTGGATCGTCGTATTTTTATACAAATCACACCAGTTATGATAGTTACGATGATAATTCCCACGACTGCACATATTGTACATACAATTGCCACATCACCGTCAGATAACCCGGAAGTTGCAGCAATGACCTCTGTTGAATTCAATATCAAGAAACATATACGAAAATGTTCACAAGAACCCAAGATCTCAGCAAATGATTAAACGAAATATGGATTATTTCATTACACATGCCGTTTATGATAATACACTTACCTTTGATTTGATAATCAATCATTTGTGTACTCTGGACACTGCCCTCCATGGTTGATATTTTACTTACACTGTATTCAGTAGATAGTTCATCAGTTGTAAGATGATTTGTAATTGGCATTAGTACTGAGTCTACATAAAGGAATGTTCTCATTATAACATATGTACTGTAGTATTCATAATTACAAACAAGATAAATAACACTTGTATTGACTGCAATAATATTCAAATAAAAGAGAATACTTCATTTCTTATAATTCATTGCATAACGTAGCTTTGGTGGGCATAATCGAACAATAACACATTCACAATGATAATCGTTCACAAATGAGTATCACGTGTTAATAAATCAAATAGTGAACTAGATAACTGTCCATGTAATGATTTGAAAAAAAAATCGCAAAAAAACAATGCGGAACATACGTTTGCACGCACAAGCACTAGACTTAATTAGTGTCGTTTCTGTGTAGATCATCGCATTACAATAAATCGTATATGTTATTCTCATGTGGTGTATTTATGTCGCATAGTATATCGTATCACGGAAAATAACTGTCATACCCAAGTATAAAACCGGTGAAAACAATGATCAAAACGTTCAGAAAACTGTACTTTGAGCTAGTTGCCAAGACTCCCAAAACTACCTACATATATACACATATATCAGTTTGAATTGCCTCAAAGTTGATTAAGTGATGTTTTTATCAGTCACTGCTTCTACCGGCGTGCCACAGCAGGTCACACAGAGCCAATAAAAATACATTGTACAGTGGCTTGTTTCCGAGCAACATAAAATATTCTGTGGCGTGATAACGTGAATACCGAAACTGACAACATATCGACTTTCCCTAACTGGTCTTCGTTGCAACAAACAAGCACACCATTCACCTCAGATACAACACTAAGTGTTTTCTCTTGGTGGTTAGTAAGCTCACCCAAAGAGAAAAGCTAGAAACACGTTCATTTCCATATTCCACCATTTTAATTTTAAAATGTGTCGTTTCTATCATGAGTTCTGACTGGGTAATGCAAATAAGCCCAAGTAAGTCTTATAATCGTTTGAGAGTGAATCGTGGTAAAATCTGCCAAGGTTTAATGTTGAGGCTTTGGCTGAATACATGGTCCTTGGCTGGCGAAGATGGTATTCCTCGTGTTCACAATACTTAATATTACAGGTCAAAATCATATTACCTCAAACTTTACACCTGTGTGATTGCTTCAAAACATAACTAAATGAAAACGATGGACATAAATGATGCTAATATTTTAATACAGTATGCAATTGTATATGTCCTAAAATGTTAGTGCGAAGAAATCTAGCACAGCTTTGCATCTACTCTGATTGCTGAGTAGTTAATTATTCACGTCATTATGTGTGACCACTGCGCAAATAATTAGAATGTGATTCAAGTTAATACTCGACTGGTACCGACACACATGTATACTGACAGGTCAAGCTAAGTGTTATAACATTATAGTTTGGTGGGTCTAAAAAAAGAAAAATGTCATTATTAATAAGCCATGCATGCAGCAGTCCGAGTTAGTTATCAAACTTAAGATACAGTATATACGTTTTGTTTTTAATGATATAGCTGGAACATAATCATGTCGAGTATGTGTCCATATTGAGAGATATTGCTCAGTAACAGCATTAATTAAAATAAAATAGCCACCAGTCGGCTATTTTGAATTGGATTGTCAAAACATTTAAATATATATCTACATGTATGACATTATGTATAATGAATATATGAATTTTTAATACACTCGGTCTAAGCATGCCAGAGATATGGTACTAGAACAGCATTCATTAAAAGAAATTAGCGACATTTTCACACTTGGTTTTAAGTTGGACACTGTTTCAAGCGATTATAAAATGATAGGAGACGATGGCAACAAAGTGAAACTTTGGAAAACAATAAATAATTATGGTCTCGTTATCTCACCTGTCTGAACCTTTAAAATGTCAATCTGTGTCTTTGTTGAGCCTTGTATTAAAAATAAAGTAAACGTGTACTCTTGTCCAGCAGTCAGACTACTGAACACACCCTGGATTAAAGTACTCGGATTGGGATCCCTTGTAAAACGTTCACCAGATCCCGGTTCCCCGTCATCTGGTGCGTACTCTATCTCATAATCGGTGAAATCTCCAACATTTTGAGGTTCTCTCCATCCCAAGATGACTAGTGAAGGGCTGCTAACAAGTACATCTAAGACAATCTTCTCTGCGAAACAAAAATACAAGATCTTATATACAAGATAAAAAAAACAAAAAAAAAACACGTGGCTATGGTAGCAATGTTTATTAGTTTTTTATCGAAACATTCGATATTTCTAAGGATTTTACAAGGAAAGGAGCAGACTATAAATGGAACTATTCTGTGTGGATGTTGCCTGAACTTTGGGGCTCAAAGGGTTTAAATACAACTTATTTTAACCATAGGTAATAACAAAACCATGATGACTAATCATGATAATAACTGATAGATACGAATTTTCACGATGAAAAATATGTTGTTTTTCTCAAACAATGACATGGAAATTTGTTTTTATAACATTGATATTATGGATTCCCATCATGTTTTTCTGCATAATTTGTTGTTGTTGTTGGTGTTGTTTTGTGTCAATTGTTGGTAATTCACCAGTCTGAGAATATTTTCAACAAGATTATCTAAATTCAACTTACTTGTAATAGTAGTAGTCGTCGCGGCTTCACTTAGTGTTTGAAGTGAGCCAGTACCGCTGACGGAATAAACCACGATAGTGTATTCAGTAATAGACAATAAACCATTGATGGAGAACTGTCGTGTATCTGAATCAACACTGCCAGCGACCATCTCATCCCCCTCGGGGTTGATGTAGGAAACCTGGTATTGGTCAAACTCGCCTATCGTTACCGCCGACCAGGTGACTGCCACGCTGGTAGAAAACACATCGGTGATGATAACAGTCGATGGTGCAATCGGAACTGAATAAATAAACGTAAATATGTTTCAGACACCTAATTTACTACTCAGTTTTGAAATACTGACATTTTTTTTAGAAAAATATATATTTCATCTGAATTTAAGAGAAAGCGGTTACTATCAAATGGCACCAAGAGTGAAAGTCAGGTTTATAATAATAGTAATTAGCTGACGACCAGACAATTATTAATCATGTCAAAATAGTTAGTCATTACATCACGATTATTTTTTTAAATGAATCTCATGAATAGAAACATGTACATTGGGTAAGTTGTGAAATTCGAACATGCTGGACGATGGTGATGATAAACCATCTAATGACATCAAAATTAAATCGACCATTCCTACAAAAAACGGCATACTCACACTCAGAACACACTGCACTTACTTGTCCGTTGCTGTTTTGTATCCTTAACAACCTCTTCATTATTATTTGTGATGGATACCTCAAACGTATACTGTCTTCCTGGGGTTAGATCAGTAAAAGATAATTCCAGGTCCATGTCAGCAGACCGTGTCAACAGTGTGTATTCACCCTGGTCACCATCAGCCGGGCTGTACGATATCAAGTAAAGTTGGAAATCCTCGGTGGCTGCACCCCAAGTGATGTTAATGCTATCTGTGTTCACGTCGTTAAAGGTTATTTCAGCTTGTGCAGCAGTTTCTGCAATAGAAGGTATTTGAATAATTAAATAAATGATATGAACAAAATAGTGTGACCATTTGCATAATGGGTGCTACTCGTCATACGGACACACCAAGTGTGACAAATTTGTGTATGTACGTGTACTATACTGTGAGTGCAAGTCATATACACAAAACACTCTCCATACTGCATAAAATACTTCCAGCTGTGTAATAATCCAGTTGACAATGAGTTTAAAGAAAGTTGTGTAATTTTGCACATACTAAGGCCCGCCAATCTGTTCAATATTTTCTGTTTTATAAAAGTATAAAAATATTGTTTTTTATTCATTTCTCAGTGGTTAATTATCTGAGAGCACTGCAGACATGTTCAAACATTGACTACATAGTTGTATACTAATTACCACAGTTGTCCGATATAACACCCAATGTAATCAGCTGAAATAATGTTTTTTAGAAGGTGGGTGCTTAGTCGAGCACATCCTCGATAATTTTCATTTGCCATTTGCCAGGTAAGAGGAGATTTTGAGTAGAATAAAATTGCGAAATATGTTGAGTTATTGATTTTCACTTTCACAATGACAAAATAGAAAGGATCGCAAAAATACACGCTTCTCATTTTTATTTACAAACAAACAGAATTAATGGTGTAAAAATTACTAAAAATCTGTCAAGTCAAAAGCTTCATCATTGTTGAATGCTTTAGATTGCAAGAAAACTCTAGATGCAAAGGAATTTCCGCAATGAAGTTTTTCTGAAAAACAACACCCTCTGACCTGATAGGTCAAGTCTGTTCTTAATCAACCAGAACACTGTATTGTACTGATGCAATTTTCTAAGAATTTCCAAATTATGACATTGGCATTCTTCAGAACTCAAAGCTGAAGTAAATTTATATATGATCTGTTGGCACTGATTTTGATGGGAGATTTCGAAAATCTTGTGATTAACCATTTCTGGACTTCGTGTGGTAGAAGCATTTAACAAGCTTCACAACTATTAAAAGTACATGTTGATTAGCAGTTTACACCCCATTCAGGATAGTCACAATGCAATAGACACTAATTATTCGGAAAAGTAAAATAATGCTCAATGAACAGGTTTCACGACAAAACGGTTTAATTTAAGATGTTTTGGACACTTAGTTGAACGTGAAACTAGAAACAGGAATCACTTGAAAATGAGAGTGGGCACTTAGTTGGAGATGGGAGCCAATTCAGATGAGTATGGTACGCACTAACTTGTCATTGTGGGCAGTGTTCACTACACGTCATTTCGTACTGCGTTTTTCGTTGCAGTGTGTACGTGGCTTTGAGGGTAGAGTGTCTACAGTTCAAGAGACTTGTCATGAACATGAGTTTGAGTCATGTGTTTCTATGCGATCTACGTCTGTTGGCACATCCATTTTTTTTTATTTTTTTAGCAATTACTTCATGTAGGTATTCAACCCGACACATGTGTACTTGTAATTCATAGAGAGTGTGCTTTCTACAAACATGCATCAAAGGATCTTAGTTCAAATATACAACTCCAAATGCAAACCTGTGATGTATTTTACCACATAAGGGTCACTTTTTGTTTGGCTGTATCCAGTTCCTGACAATGTAACAGCTGTGATGGCATACTCTCTACTTGGTGTAAGTCCATTCAACGTAATCTCATAATCATTAACATCAGGGTCCACCACAGTCAGCAAGATTGGGGATACAGTGGTACCGTCTGGAGGGTCATAAGTAATCTGGAATGCGCTGTAGACACCACCAGGAGTGAACATGTAGAAACTTATAGATGATGGCCCAGATGAAGCCCCATTGATGACAATCTGTAAAACATCATTTGGTTCTGACAAAAAATAATCACAGAATCAATACACAGACACTCAATATAACTACAATTATGTAAATACAATGGCTTAACAAATTATGAAAATTTGGTAATAGACATTCAATTGACTATCCGTAATTGAATACATAAACACAGAATAAAAGAATTCCTTCATGCAATCTGTATATAACTTAATAGTAGTAATTTTCATAAAATAACCCTGTTAATTTCTATTAATTTTTTTAGTAAGTATAAATGTATATAATGTGTATATATTATAAAACATAATCGAACTTTCAAAATGTGTCATTACAACGCTTATGATTTGTTTGCAAAACATGCAGTATGAATAACTTACTTGTACGCTGCATCTTAACACTATCATCAACGTTCCCTCCAGATACCTGTATTTTCATCTCATATTCCTGTCCAGGTGTTAAATCGTCAAATGTGTGGGACAGTTTGCTTCCTTTACTGACAATTTTCACAAACACATTATCCAGATAGATCAGATAAGCAGTCGCACCATCAACCGACCCCCATAATATCTCAATGACCTCTGTAGTAAAACTACTGATAATAATCTCACCAGAAGGAATTGTAGCTGTAAAAAGAAATGGATACTATAATCACTTGTGTATGGTATCTGAAAGGTGATTACAATCGTATATTCCTTTCATTAACCATTTAAAACGTCAGGAAAAGAATTTGCAAATCATTAAGATTAATTATTATTATTATTTCTCTTTTTTTTATTAATTTTAGACCAACCTAACATTATTTACTATTCGTTACAGGTTTTGGTAAACATTTTAAGAAAAAAAATCTGAAAAAAAAATATGCAAGTTTATATGCTCACATAGGTTTTAGGGACTCTGAATAAAAGTCATAAATGCTGTATACTGAATTGCAATTGCAACTGAATATAGAAAAAAATAATTGAAAGCTGAGGGTCCGATAAATACTGTTAAATGACTATTGGGGGTAATTTTCACTCGGTTAAAATTTTGCTGATTTACCATTTCAGGCATATTCAGTGGGTATTAAATTCACGGTTTTATCATTTAGATAATGTG